AATTAGCACTGGATTTATTATCCTATCCTTCTTTCTTTCCATAATACAGGAAACTGAAACCTCTGTTAGTTTCCCCAGACTCTTCACCAACTCTCCCTAGTCAGGTTCTTCCTACTAGAGACACTGGTAGGAGATTGGAATGCGAGAGAAAGGAGGAAGGCTTTTTTCCTTTTCTGTGGAGGCATCTCAGATGCTTGCAGCAAAGGTACAAGATGGTGGCAAAGGGCAAGGGTGACTTCCTGCTTAGGAGTGGGATTTTAACAGAAATAGTAGGAGCAGCACTCTGCTCTGGCTCCTGCAGTTGGGGCAGCAGCTCCAGGAACCTCTGCTGTGCAGGGCTTGTGGCCTTCGTTCCTTTGGCTGTGGCTACGGTTGGACACCTGCAGAGTCATCTGGAGAGTTAGCTCCAGGCTTCCTGCCTGTTGTTGGTGTTCCAACATCAGCAGCCTGAGGGGCAGTGATGTCAGGCTCTATTTTCTCTTTCACTCTTCCTGCCCTATGGGTGGGATTAGTTTCCTGCAGTTATTAATCTCTAGGTAACCACACGTTTTTCCTTTTTGCTCTTAATTTATGCTTCCAATATATTTATAACTAGTTTTCTGTGTTGAATTCTCTGTTTCAAATAATTTGAATGGATACTGTTTTTGTGATTAAATACTTACTGACACAAAGTATCTATAACTCATTATTTATAGCTGGTGTGATTTTTTTTAACCTATATACCCAAGAGATTCAATGTAGAAGCTAAATGAGCTAAGAATGCAATAAGGGATCAAATACAAAATAAACATACAAAATTTAATAGCTCTCTTATAAACAATATAGAAAAAGAGTCTGTCCCCCCAAAGAGCCCATTCACAACAGTATAAGAAATTGTTAAAAGATTTAATAAACCTAACAAGAAATGCGTACAATTATATGAAGAAAATCTTTAGAACTGTAGTGCAGCACATATAATTAAACTTATATGAATGAAGAAATAAAGCATGTCTATGGTGATCTTCACATGTTGGTACATTAGCAGGGGGATGGCTAAATAAACCACAATTCATCCATATTTTGGAATGCATAGGTTACAAGACTGAAGGAATGAACTGGGCCCATGTAGAAAGATATCCAAGACATATTGGATATTTTTTAAAAAGCAAAAATCGGTATAGTATTTGTAAATTTATTTTCAAAAACCCAAACAAACTTTCTGATGCTTGGTACACATATATGTTTTATGTTCTGTAAATCCATAGAAAATGGGTAACACAGTAATAATCATATTCTTTGGGCAGGGAGATTAGACTGTGGGGTGAAAGGAAACTTTAAATTTTTATTCTATATATTCTTTTATTTTCAAACATTTCTTACAGCAAATAGTCTTGATAATTATGTAACTTTAAGAAATGGCCAAGAGTAAGAAGATAAGTCACAAAATGGGAGAAAATATTTGCAAAAGACACATCTGATAAAGGATTGTTATCCAAACATACAAAGAACTTTAAAACTCAGAAATAAAACAAAAACCTGGTAAAAAAGAAGAGGGCAAAAGACTTGAGCAGACACCTCATCAAAGAGGATATCAAATGAACATAAGAAAAGATGCTCCATATCATATGCCATCAGGGAAATGGAAATTAAAAGAATAATGAGATACCACTACACACCTATTAAAATGATGAAAATCCAAAACACAACACCAAATACCGGTGACGATGTGGAGTAATAGCAACTCTCACTCATTGCTCGTAGGAACGCAAAATAGTACAGCCAGTCTGGAAGACGGTTTGGTGGTTTCTTACAAAACTAAACATACTCTTACCATATGATACTTAAATCACAGTCTTTGGTGTATATATACCCAAAGAGTTGAAAATTTATGTCCACACAAAACCTGCACATGGATATTTATAGCAGCTTTATTCATAATTGCCAAAACTTGAAAGCAACCAAGATGTCCTTCAATAGGTGAATGAATTGATAAACTGTGGTACATCCAGACAACGGAATATTATTCAGCACTTCAACTATACTTCCAAAAGAAAAAAGTCATCTATACATCAATTAAAAAACATTATTCAGTGCTAAAAAAAAAAAAAAAAAAGCTATCAAGCCCTGAAAAGACATGGAAGAATCTTAAATGTACATTACTAAGTGAAAAAAGCTGATCTGAAAAAGCTATATACTTAATGATTTCAACTTTATGATGTTCTGGAAAAGGCAAAAATGTGGTGACAGTTGAAAGATCAGTAGATGTCAGGGATTGTGGAGAGGGTGGGATGAATTTGCAGATCACAGAGAATCTGTAAAACAGTGAAACCCTTCTGTACAATACTATAATGGTGGGCATATGTCACTATCCATTTGTCAAAACCCATAGAATGTGTAACACCCAGAGTGAACCCCAAGGTAAACTATGGACTTTGGTTGATAGTGATGGTGGTGAGTCAACATAGGCTCATCAATTCTAATAATTGTACCACTGGGGGAGGTGGTGGAGGAGACTGTGTGTGGGGAGAGGAGGCATGTATATGAGAACTCTATGTATTTTCTGCTCAATTTTACCATGAACCTAAAACTGGTCTAATAAAAGTCCTGAAAAAGAAAATCCCCTGTGCTTCACTTATGCAACTCTCCACCTGGATAATCTTGGCAAATATTGATCTGTTTAAAATGTTTTTTATTTATTTTCAACTTTTACTTATTTTTATTTTTTAATGTTTATTTTTGAGAGGATGCACGTGCACATGTGCAAGTGGGGGAGGGGCAAGAGAGAGGGGGACAGAGGATCGGAGGTGGGGCAGCAGAAAACTCAATGTGGGGCTTGAACCCATATAATCTGAGATCATGACCTGAACCAAAGTCGGATGCTTAACTGAGTCACCCAGGCGCCCCTGTTTGAAATTTTTTAATTTTAAAAATATTGTTAAAAAGTTTTAGGGCTATAGGTGGCACCTGGCTTAGTTGGAAAAGCATAGAACTCTTGATCTCTGGGCTGTGAGTTTGAGCCCCATGTTTGGTGTAGAGATTACTTAAACCTTAAGAAAAAAGTTTTAGAGTTTTATAAATTGATTGGACTTTTATAGATAGTAGGTAATTTTTTTAAGAAATGAGTGTCTTCGACCTTAAAGCAGTTACATTTGTTATTAGTAATCATACCTGCAACTCACAGATGTGGAACCTATTAAAGTACCAGTAACATCTCAATTTGTAGTGGGGGAAAAAAAGGCAAGTGAAGAAAAATCCAGAAAGGCTAAGTCATTTCTCCACCTGCCTCTGCATGTTTCTGTGCAATCCATCAGGGGACAGCTGGGATTAATTATTTTGAAAACTTTCTAGCTTTCTAATCACACCATGCCCTACATTCTTGTCAATTCTGGCCAGAATAAAAAATATAAACCCTTTCTTGCAGGCTCATTTAAAAACATTTTTTTTCTCTTTTCATTCCCCCAACCTAATATCCTAGTTTCCAATCCTAACTTTACCACTAAGCCCTCTGGAATGCCTGATAAACAAAATACCCTAAATCAGTAAACTGAATACAGGTATCCTTTGCTTTTTGAAAGTTGATGTTACACCACTTTGCTTTTACGCAAGACCTACATTAGTACCTGTTTTTGCTAACAGAAAAAAAAATCTAAAGCGGTTTTTCACTTTTCAGAAAGCGGTGAAGAGCAAAACTATCAGTGTTTATTTTGCAGCTGGCTGTTTTAGAAGTGGCACTAAAGGTGAGCATCAGTGGCGCTGCCGAGCTCCTTCCCTAGGAATTACACAGCATCTGAGCACCAAGCAGCCAGACCTGTGAACTGTGCCTGTGAGTATTTGTGCCTTATGCTGACTTGTGTATCCATTAACAAGATGTGTGGTAAGGTATCAGAAAAGCCTATATCACTTATTGAGTCTGGGAACTCTCAAAAAAACCTTCCATGTACATTTATGGTAATTGGTTCTTCCCTTCATGCCATTTCAGCTTAGAAAAGGTTTCATTGGAATGCACTATTTTCAGCTAGGCAAGGGAAATTTGCATCTCTCTACTTCCTGGGTTTGACAGAATCTTTGATTTGAGGGCTCTTCTTCACTGGCCTCTTCTCAGGTTTTTTTTTTTTTTTTTTTTCTCTTGACTTATTTCTTTATTGGGAACTCTGGCTGCAGGTTCCCCAGTCTTTCAGTTCATTTCGGATCCTGCCATTCATTTTCCTAGATGACTTCAACTTTCTAGTTTCTTCATGAATATACATTCACGAAGTTATTTATTTTTATTTTTATTTTTTTGAGAGAGAGAGAGAGAGAGAGGCAGAGAAAGAGAATCCTAAGCAAGCTCCAAGTCCAGCCGGAACCCAATGGCCCAACTGTGGGGATCCATCCCACAACCCTGAGATCAGAACCTGAGCCAAAAGCAAGAGTCCAATGCTTACTCCACTGAGCCACCCAGGCTCCCCTCTTTATGAAGAACTTTCTAATTTCTATTATCTCACTGCCCACATCTTGATACTTGACACTACCAAGCCTGTTCTACCTGTGAAATCTTTAAACATTTTGACTTCGGATCCTTCCCTTTTCTGTCCCTCACACCTGCTCTTCCACCTCCATAACCCCCCAGTTTTTCCCTGTCAATCCTATTCCCCCGGTCTTTACTTTTCGGCTGAGCCTGTACTCCTCTGGTGACTCTCCACCCTTCATTGCTCCTTAGTTGTCCCAGCAAAGTTCCTTTTCTTCTCCACTTCTTCCGAGCATTCAGCCCGTGTTTGAGGGCGGTGGGGAATGACGCTGACCAATACTGACTCAGGGCCCAGGACTGTAGATGGTGTTTCTAATTTTCTTAGTTTTCCCAATTATCATACTTCAACAATGAATTCCTTTAATTTTCATTACAGCTCAGGAAAGGGCACTCTCTCCTAAGCCCTTGCCGCGGTTAGACTCAGGAAACGCAGGCGCAGTCGTCCTCGCCCTGGCCTCGCGGGGCATGACGGGCAAAGGGGTGGGGCACGGCGCGGGGGCGCGGGTGGCTCGCGCTGTGCGCGCCCCGGCGGCGGCGTGGTCCTGGTGGGCTGCGGTCCGCGCGCTGCCGCGGCCGCCCTCTTCGGAGGTGGGAGGGGCAGACGGAGCAGGCGCGGGCCCGGCGGAAGCCATGTTTGTGGCGCGCAGTATCGCGGCGGACCATAAGGATCTCATCCATGATGTCTCTTTCGACTTCCACGGGCGACGGATGGCTACCTGCTCCAGTGACCAGAGCGTCAAGGTGCGCGCGGAGCTTTTGGGTGGGGCCGAGCCCAGAAGGAGGGGGAGTGGGGACTTGCATGACCCGCTGTTAGAGCGGAGGGAACGGCGCGTGGAAAGGGGACTACCTCGGATTTTGAGGCACGCCGTTGGACACGAGGTCTGGAACCCAAGGAGTGTGGGCGGCTGGGCTGCTCCGCCGTGCTTGCCCCAGTATTGTGGGGTCACAGCCGCTCCCCCGCTCTCACTCTGCTCTGCGCTTGCGCGGAGGGGGAGGGCGGGCAGGCGTCTTAGCCACGTGCGCGCTCCCGCCAGTGGGGCCCTGGGCAGCACGCGGGTTCTACCTCCTGCAGGTTTGGGTCATTGTGGGCGAGAGCTAGAGATTCGGCTTAGTCTGCGAGAAGAATTTGTCAGACTGCGCGGGTGGGGGAGTACTTGTCCTGTTACCACACTGGTTCAGCCAGAGGCTTTTGCCTCGCCACCTGTATATGTGCTGCCGAAGCGAGCACTGCCTCGCCACCTGTAATGCAGTCGGTTCACCGTGTTGTCTCAAGTGCTGTGATGAGCTTGTTGCTCATCTTGAGATTGTTCTCTCCTTGCGTTCATATAGGAAACAAATCCATTTATATCCAATGAAGTTCTCTACTTGCTATTAAAGAAATGGAGTGCTTGTTTCATACAGTTCATGTAAGTGTCTGCACTACTTTGACCAGAATTTTCTGTGATAAGAGGATGGTCTTTGGGATTTAAGAATTTAGATTTAAGAACGTTACCGACAATAGACTTGCAGATGAAAGCTGGAGTTCGGATTATTTGCATTTTCAACAACTCCAAAATAACTGAAAATCTGAAGGATAGTTTTTATTACTTGCCTTTCACATGAGTCAAGTTTGATACCAGTGATCCCTCAATGATGAATTACAGCTGGTGTTCCCTTTCGAAAAAGTGGTGTCACCAAATACATGGAATAACTATAGCGTTCTAATTCCTAAAAGGTTTAAAATCACTTAATTTTTTTTTTTTTTTATTGTGGTAAGCTAACCATCTTTAGATCTACATTACAGTTCAGTGGCCTTAAGCATAACATTCATGTTGTGCAGCCGTCACCACTATACATCTCTGGAACTTTTTCATCATTCTAAAGTAAAACTCTAGTCAATAACTCCTTTTTCTACCCTGCCCCAGTCCCTGGTCACTTCTAATACTCTTCCTTTTTTTTTTTTTTTTTTTAACGTTTACTTATTTATTTTGAGAGAGAGAACAAGTGGGAGAGGAGCAGAGAGAGAGGGAGAATCCCAAGCAGGCTCCATGCTCAGCGTAGAACTGGACATGGGGATCGATCTCATGACCCCTGAGAGCATGACTTGAGCCGAAATTAAGAGTCAGGAGCCCAACTGACTGAGCCACCCAGGTGCCCCTCTAATACTCTTTCTTTATAAATTTGACTCTGCTGGGTATCTCGTATAAATGTAACCATATAGTATTTGCCCTTTTGTGTTTGGTTCATTTCACTTACCATGATGTTTTCAGGGTTCATCCATATTTGTAGTATGTATTGTAATTTTATTAAGATTGAATGATAATTTTGTTGTATGTGTACACATTTTCTTTAGACATTCATCTATCCACCTGTTGTTGAATATTGCAGTAATTAATGTCTGTTAACTGAATAGGTCATAGATTTTTTTTCCTCATCCACTTATTACTGAATCTCTAAATCTTTCCGTTTGTAGGTTTTGGTTTTTTTGGAAGTAGTATTGCAATGGAAATCTTCATTACTTTAAGCTATTTGTGTTTTGAATGATTTCCTTAGCCTAATTCAAGTAGAGAAATTAGTGAATATTTTAAAAGCTTTTGTGAATAATTGGCAGATTGTCTTTTTGAAGGTTATACAATTTTACAGTTAAAGTACTGATTTGATAGGATAATTGTCCATGTCAGGAATTACTAACATTTTTTCTCTAATTTTTAAAATTGTGGTAAGATACACGTAAAATTTACTGTCATAACCATATTTAAGTGTTTATAGTTCAGTGGTATTAAGTACATTCATATCTGTGCAATCATCACCACCATCTATCTACAGAACTTTTTCATTTTGCAAAATTGAAACTTTGTACCCATTAAATTATAACTTCCCATTCTCCCTGTCATCACACCCTAGCTACTACCCCCATTGTACTTTCTGTCTATGAATTTGACTAGGTACCTCATATAAGTGGAGTCCTACAGTATTTGTCCTTTTTGTGACTGGATTATTTCACTTAGCATAGTGTCTTTGAAGTTTGCACATGTTGGAGCATGTGCTGGAATTTTCTTCCTTTTTAAGGTTGAATATTACATTGTATGTATTGTAAATAACACATTTTGCTTAACATTTATCTCTCAGTGGACTTGGGTTGCTCCTATGTTTTTTGCTGTTGTGGATAATTCTGCTATAAATATGGGTATGCACATACCTCTTGGAGAACCTGCTTTCAACTCTTTTGGGTATATACCCAGAAATGGAATTGCTGGATCATATGGTAATTCTATTTTTAGTTTTTTGAGGAGTTTATCATTTCATTTTTTAAGAGGTTAAAATGTTGTCTTTTTATAATCTATATTTTTTGTTGATAGTAAGATTAAGTATTTTTCTTTTGTTTGTTACATAAACAGTTGGTCCTCATTATCAGCCAATTGTGTATTTGTGAGTTCACCTACTCTTTACAATTTGTGACCCCAAAATCAATATTCTCAGTTATTTGCTTGACATGAGCAGAGTAGCAAAAATTGGAGTTGCCCGGTGTGCATGTTCCCAACTGAGGTTAAACAGGGTGACACTGCTTTCTATTTTATTTTGTTTTATTTTATTTACTTATTTTAAATTTATATCCAAGTTAGCATGTAGTGTAATAATGAATAATGATTTCAGGAGTAGATTCCAGTGATTCATCCCCTATGTATAACACCCAGTGCTCATCCCAACAAGTGTCTTCCTTGATGCCCCTTACCCATTTAGCCCATCCCCCCTCCCACAGTCCCTCCAGCAACCGTGTTTGTTCTCTATATTTGAGTCTCTTATGTTTTGATCCCCTCCCTGTTTTTATGTTATTTTTGCTTCCCTTCCCTTCTGTTCATCTTAAATACCTCATATGTGTGAAGTCATATGATAGTTGTCTTTCTCTAATTTCACTTAGCATAATACCCTATAGTTCCATCCACATAGTTGCAAATGGCAAGACTTCATTCTTTTTGATTGCCATGTGGTACTCCATTGTGTATATATATATATGTGTATATATACATATATATATACACATATATACACACATATTGTAAATGTATATATATATATATACATGTGTATATATATATACAGTGTGTATATATATATATATGTATATATATATATATATATATATATATATATATATATCACATCTTCTTTATCCATTCATCCATCAATGGACATTTGGGCTCTCTCCATACTTTGGCTATTGTTGATAGCATTGCTGTAAACATTGGGGTGCATGTGCCTCTTTGAAACAGCATACCTGTATCCCTTGGATAAATACCTAGTAGTGTTATTGCTGGGTTGTAGGGTAGTTCCATTTTTTATTTTTGAGTAACCTCCATACTATTTTCCAGAGTGGCTGCACCAGTTTGCATTCCCACCAGCAGTGCAAAAGAGATCCTCTTTCTTTGCATCCTTGCCAACATCTGATGTTTCCAGAGTTGTTCATTTTAGTTATTCTGACTGGTGTGAGGTGGTATCTCATTGTGGTTTTAATTTGTATTTCCCTGATGATGAGCGATATTGAGCAGTTTTTCATGTGTCTGTTAGTCATCTGGATGTCTTCTTTGAAGAAGTGTTTGTTCATGTCTTTTACCCATTTCTTCACTGGATTATTTGTTTTTTGGGTGTTGAGTTTGAGAAGTTCTTTATAAATTTTGGATATTAACCCTTTCTCTGATATGTCGTTTGCAAATATCTTCTCCCATTCTGTCGGTTGCCTTTTAGTTTTGCTGATTCTTTCCTTTGCTGTGCAGAAGTTTTTATTTTGATGAGGTCCCAATAGTTCATTTTTGCTTGCCTCTGGAGACATGTTGAATAAGAAGTTGCTACAGTGACACTTTTCTTATTTGGACTCTCATACTGTAAACAAGTCTTTTGTTTTTTTGAAAGAGAGAGAGGGAGAGAGAGAATCCCAAGCAGGCTCTGCACTGTCAGCGCAGAGCCTGATGTAGCACTTGAGCTTGTGAACTATGAGATCATAACCTGAGCCAAAATCCAGTTAGGCGCTTAACTGACTGAGCCACCCAGGGGCCCCACAAGTGTCCTTATCATTGTCTATTTTGTGCCACATTTTCCACATTTTTGTTTTTTTGTTGGTGATTTCACTGTCTAAAATTGTCCCCAAGTATATATAGTGCTGAAGGGGTGCCTAGTGATCTTAGGTGCAAGAAGGCTGTAATATGCCCTGCAGAGAAAATATGTGTGTTAGGAAAGTTTCACTCTGCCATGAGTTGCTGCTGGCTCTGATTTCAGTGTTAATGAATCAATAATGTCCACTAAAGAAGTGTCTTTAAATAGATACATACATGAAACGAGATTATGTATTGATTAGTTGACAAATATTTCCCCTGAGAGCAGTGGTTTAGTATTTGCTGGTTCAGTGTTCACAGCAACATTGTAGAACACAACTACTACGATAACGAGACTTGATTGTAACTGTAGTTATCTCTGTTACCTATGAGAGCACAGATTCCTTGACCCCCTCCTGCTCAACCTGGTGCCTGGCACTCCGCAGGTCCTTTTATTTTAATGTTTGTTTATTTAGAGAGAGAAAAAGAGAGAGAGAGCATGAGCAGGGGAGGAACAGAGAGAGGAGAGACAGAATCCCAAGCAGGCTCTGCACAGTCAGCGAAGAGCCAGATGTGGGGCTTGATCTGATGAACCGTGAGATCATGACCTGAGCCAAAATCAAGAGTTGGATGCTTAACTGACCGAGCCACCCAGGCGCCCCCCCCCCCCCCACCTCAGGTTCTTAATAAACATCTGAATGAATGTTTACTTACTGGTTGTATTATTTTGTGAACTTATGTTCATTTCTTTTGCCTTAATACTGATTCACTCTTTATGTTTGTCATGTTTATAGGAATATTTTGCATAAAATATGTCTTATTTTCTTACAGGTCTGGGATAAAAGTGAAAATGGGGATTGGCATTGTACTGCTAGTTGGAAGGTTAGTATTTTTAGTGATTTTAAAAAAAATTGAGATGGTTACTATTTATTTGGTAGCGTCAGTGACTTGCTATTCTTCTTGAGAGAATTATAAAATGTATACTTTTCCTAAAATATTTTGATTTTAACTGCTAAAGTATCAAAAATATACTTCAGAAAATTTGAGAGTAGGGAAACGTACAATTTCATAGCATTCTAACATAACTATTTTTAGTGTTTTAGTATTTATTACTTATCTGTTCTTTTGCATATTTTTAATAGTTGTGATATTTTGTACAGTTTTTATTTTCAGCTTTATTCAGGTAGAATTTTACATACCATTAGAGTCATCAGTTTTAAATGTGTAGTTCAACGAATTTTAGTAAATTTCTATGTACACTTGCATGGCCCTGAAACTTCCCTTGTGACTGTTTGGGGTCAATTCCCATTCTGTACCCAGGCCCTAGGCAACCACTGAAGTGTTTTCTGTCTCTGTAGTTTTACTTTTTCTAGACATTTCATATAAATGGAATTCTACGATATGTAGTTATTTGTGTCTAGCTACTTTCCCTTTTCCTTGAGGTTCATTCATTTTGTGAATTCAGTAGTTTGATCCTTCATACACAATACAATGGCGTTTACTACATTCACAATGTTGGTACAACTACCGCCTTTACCCATTTCCAAAACTATCGCTCTAAAAGAGAAACCTCCATTTCTTGCCTTTTAATTTAACAACATATTTCATAAATATTTTGGTATGCTTTTAAAGCTTGTTTAAAAACATAAATGTAGCAGTAAAACATGAATATACCAATAAATATACCCTGTTTTTGTTCAACTTGTGATAGCTGGTATAAGTTGTTTCCTTTTTATTGTGATGAACATCTCTTTGTAATCTTTAGTTTTTAGGTAGGTTGTGCTTTACTGGCAATGTAATATTTAACACAGTCTCACTGGTCTAGTGTAGTCTTTAACTAGTAACTTATATAAATAATAATTAAAAGTGAAACAAAAAAGACCAGACCAAAAAAAGGATAAAAAATAAGAGTGCAAAGTTTACCTTTGAATGACATATTTACCATGTGGAAATTACATGATTATGAAAGCGTTCTGAGATTATTAAGTGCGAAAGTGTTAGATATACAGAAGCATGAGACAAATTTTATAAACATAATTGGTGGACTGATGCTTGTTGTTATACTGTATTTTTACTGGAAAGAACAAACGAAATTCTGTCCATGTGAAATTCTTTCTTTCTTTCTTTCTTTCTTTCTTTCTTTCTTTCTTTCTTTCTTTCAGAGAGAGAGAGAGAGAGAGAGAGAGAGAGAAAGAAGTGGGACTCACCTGGGCTCGTGTTTTACCTGAAGTGGGGCTCAAGCTCACCTGATGTGGGACTTGAACTCATGAACCATGAGATCATGACCTGAGCCAAACAAAGTCAGATGCTTAATGACTGAGCCACCCAGGCCATAGGTTTTTTTTTGTTGTTGGTTTTTTTTTAAGTTTATTTATTTATTTATTTTGAGAGGGCGAGAGAAGAAAGGAGAGGAGAGGAGAGAGTGGGGGAGGGGTAGAGAGAGAATCTCAGGCAGGTTCCATGCTGTCCTCCCAGCTCCATGTGGGCTTGATCTCATGAACCTCAAGATCCTGACCTGAGCTGAAATTAAGAGTTGGACACTTAAGAGACTGAGCCACCCAGGTGCCCCGATGTGAAATGCTTTGAGACCTTTCTGTTTTTTTCCTTTTGTCAACACGAGAGTTGAAGAATAGTAATTTGACATTTTTCAAATAATACAGGTAACGCTACTGAGCTTTAAATTATTTTTTCAGAATACAAGGATTTGGGCTTCTCTGTATTTTATCACTCGTTGCCTGACTTCCTAGAATAGTCGACTGTCTAGCCAGGTATCAGAGTCATTTAAGCATTTTACTATTGTAGTTTCTATATACTGTTAGGCTTTTGAAGCAAACAGTTTTGGTTAGTCTTATTTATTTTATTAGATGGCTGTTTCCTGTAGAGAGAATTTGCAAGTTAAAAAAATGGTGGACTGGTAGATCTTTTTTTTAAAGCTTGATAAGGCTAAACTCTGAAGCAGGTCTCTGTTAGTACTGGAAGAGGTCAACTTTATCCAGCTGGATTTTTCTTTATTAGTAAAATGTTAGAAGGACTTGACTCCAGAAGGGCCATAATCCTAAGTAGAGAATATCTTCTAAAAGTTAAAAATTTCCAGAACTTAATTTTTTACTTAAATGTAAAATTGAATAGCATTCTGCTCTTATTGAAAATATCTGTGTTGTTTCCTCAAGTAAAACTTTGTGTGAAATATGAGTAAAGTCAAATTTTTTTTTTTTTTTTTTTTAAATAATTCCTCAGACACATAGTGGATCTGTGTGGCGTGTGACATGGGCCCATCCTGAATTTGGACAGGTTTTGGCTTCTTGTTCTTTTGACCGAACAGCTGCTGTGTGGGAAGAAATAGTAGGAGAATCAAATGATAAACTGCGAGGACAGAGTCATTGGGTGAGACATTTGTTGGTTTTGGGGGTTTTGGGGAGGAGGGTGCATGATCTCCAAGGAACATCAGTCTTTCCAAAAACACTTTAGGCACTTGATAAGATGTTATCACTCTTCTCTGTGTTTACCAGTTCTATTTTTCCTCTTCCATGTTTTTCTGTTACTTGTTTATTTAATTTTGTCTTGGGCCTGAAGTGGCACTCAGGAACACTCATGGCATTGTTTAATGATAACTTTCATGATAAATCTGCAGTATTTGCATTGTCCTAGAGTGAGTGCACTCTAAAAATCCATTAAAATACTGTTTTTTCTCCTTTGTGGTTATCTTTGCTTTCTTATAAAATATACTCTTTATCTGGTTCTGCTATTCTCTGCTCTTCCCTGATTGGATGTTTGATTTTAAGAGTCTCATGCTCTACTGACTGAGCTAGCCGGGCATGGATGTTTGATTTTAAATAAGAGTATAATGTGTGTACTAGTCAAGTTCCATGTCTATAAAGTGAGGGAATTGAAGTAGATTACCTTTAAGACCCATTCCAATGTTTTTTCTTTTTTTCTTTATTTCTTTAATAGATAATTAGGCACAAGGTATAAATGAATGTATACAGTGACAATTTCCTCCCCTTTAGTGACACAGTTGGCTCCCTAGAGTCAACCACTATTATAAGTTTTTTGTGTATTTTTCTGGATATATTCTCTGCCTTTATAAGGACATAAATAACAGTGTTTCCTTCTCTGTTTACCAGTCCTATCCACCTTCCTCTCAACACTAATGCTTGCATGTTATCAACACTACTCTTTTTTTCTGCTGCATATTATAAATTGTGGTAGGATATACGTAACATAATATTTATCATGTTAACTTAAGTGTACAATTCAGTGGCATTAATTGCATTCACAGTGCTGCGTACACATCACCAATATCTGTATATAAACTTAATTTTTCCCAGCATAAGTCAGTACCATTGAATAGTACCTCCTCTTTCCATTCCCCCAACCCCTGGTAACCTCTGTTCTACTTTCTGTCTCTAGGAATTTGACTGCTCTAGGTACCTCATATAAATGGAATCATAGAATATTTGTCCTTCTGTATCTGGCTTGATTCACTAAGCAAAAGGTCCATCCATATTGTTGCAAAGATCAATTTCATTCCTGTTATGGCTGAATAACATTCCATTGTGTGTATATGACACATTTTGTGTATCCATTTATCTGTAGATTGATAGTTGGGTTGTTCCTACCTCTTAGCTATTGTAAAAAATGCTGTAACCAAACTCAAGGGATTTGCCACTTGGGGTGCATCAAATTCAACACAACCCAAGAAAGTGTTGAAAGCAAAAACCTGTTTATTATTTGTTACAAGGAGACAAAGAGGTAGCTCCCAAAGCACTGTCTCCTTGTGGAGTTAGGAAGGTTTTATCCAGTGTATTGGGGACAGGGGCAGGGAGCTTGCATAAACACTTGAGTTGCACATGCCTAGGATGTCAACATGCTAGTGTGTACATCAGTGTTCAAAAAATGGTGGAAAACTCCGCCCATAGGAGATCTTAATATAAGGAGCTAAAAGTAGATTCAGGATAACTTGAGGGCTTCTCTGCTTGTCCTCAGGTCTAGTCCAGTTCACACTGGATCACGTAAGAGGCTATCAGTATCAGGTAAGACACCTAGTTGGGTGTCTCCTTGGTTAGAACTGTTGGTTCCCCAAAACAAAATCTATTCCCTGCTTTTGTCCCTTTCCGTCTTCCCTTCTGCTGATACCTTTCAGCCTTCTTACTTGATTAACTTCTTGTTGCATCCTAGCTAGCATTGCTACTATGAAATTTGTTATGTAGATATTTGTCTGAAGTCTTGCCTTTAATATTTTTGAGTATGTGCCTAGGAGTAGAATTGCTGGCTCATATGGTAGTTCTGTGTTTTAACTTTTGGAAACTGCTAAATTATTTTCAGAATGACTGTACCATTTTTCACTCCTACCAACAATGCAGGAGTGTTCCAGTTTTTCCACATCCTTGCCAATGTTTGCTATCTTTTTTTTTTTTTTTCCATTATAGCTATCCTAGTGGGTGTGAAATGGCATCTCCTTTTTTTTTTTTTTTTAATTTTATTTAATTCCAAGTTAGTTAAGATGTAGTCGAATAATGGTTTCAGGAGTAGAATTTAGTAATTCATCACTTACATGTAGCACCCACTGCTCATCCCAACAAGTGCTCTCCTTAATGCCCATCGCCCATTTAGCCCATCCTCCCATCTACCTCTCCTCCAGCAGCCCTCAGTTTGTTCTATGTATTTAAGAGTCTCTTACATTTGCTTCCTCTGTTTTTATCTTAGTTTTCTTCCCTTTCCCTATGTTCATCTGTTTTGTTTATTAAATTCCATTTTTTTTTTGCATTTCCCTAATGGTTAATGATGTTGAACACATTTTTGTGTGTTAATTGGTTATTTGTATATCTTCTTGCAATGTCTTGATTTATAAGAAATTTATTTTTCATGTGTATTTGGTTTTTCTAACTCAGTTCCTGAGTTACAACTCCCAGAACCCTTGGAATTTCCTAAGTGTACAGAGTGATAAAGGTATCTTTTGTTATGTTAATGAGGTGACTTTGGGAAAGTGCCTAAGGTTGGGGGCTGGTTGCCAGTGAAGCCAACCTTGTGATTAGAGGGCTAGAACTTTCTGTGTCACCCCCAGCCTCTGGGGAGGTAAGAGAGGCTGGAAGTTGTATTGCTTGCCATTGGCTAATGTGTTAATCAGTCGTGTCCTTGTAATGAATGAAATCTCCATAAAAACCCCAGAGAACATGGTTCAGAGAGTTTTGGGGTTGGTGAACTTGTGGAAATGTGGGGAGAGTGGTTAGCCTGGAGAGGGCATAGAAGCTTCTTACCCTTTCCCCATACCTTGCTCTATGCATCTCTCCCATCAGGCAGTTCCTGAATTCTATCCTTTGATAATAAATTGGTAATCTATTAAGGGAAATGTCTGAAGTTTGAGAGCCGCTTAGGTGTCCGAAGTGGGGGCAGTCTTGCACGATAGAACTCTTAATCTGTGGAATCTGATGCTGTTTCTGGGTAGATGGAGTCAGAATTGAGTTGAATTCTTGGACAGCTTTACTGCTATCTGAGAATTGTGTGTGTGTGTGTGTTGGGGGGGGTTCTCCCCCAACCCCCGAACTGGAATTGTTACCAGAATTCTTTACTTCTTTAGGGAAATGTCTTTTCAAGTCCTTTGACCATTTAAAACAATTTTTTTTTTCGCTGTTGAGTGGTATTTCTTTATATTCTGGATATTAATCCCTTTTCAGGCATATGATTTGCAAATATTTTCTCCCGTTCTGTGAGTTGCCTTCTCTCTCTCGACAGTCACCTTTGATGTACAAAATGAAGTCCAGTTAAATTTTTTCTTTTGTTTGCTGTGTTTTTGTTTCTTGTGTCATATTCAGGAAATCATTGTCAAGTCCAATGCCATAAAGACTTTCCCCAAAGTTTTATATTAAGAGAATTATAATTTTTAGCTCTTACATTTAGGTCTTTTGTTCATTTTTACTTAAGTTTTGTATATGGTGTAAGGTAAGGGTACAACTTCATTCATTCTCTCCCCCCCCACCCCGCCCTTCTTTTTTAAAGTAATCTCTACCCCCAACGTGGGGCTCAAACTCATGACCCTGAGATCAAGAGTCACATGCTGTACCAACTGAGCTTTCCAGACTCCCCCAACTTCTTTCTTTTATATGTTAATATCCAGTTTTCCTAGTATCTTTTATTGGAATGACTGCCCCATTGCCCTTTGTAGTGGCCTCTTTTAGACAACAGGCTTACGTAATGGAATGTAAAAAGCAAGGCAGAAGGGCCCACAGTAACCCCCTGGGTGAATATAAACAGGCCCATTAGTCAGCCTACCTCAAAGTGTTCATAGGCCCTAACTAACCAATGGGCCACTTACAACCAGGCAGTTACCAAAAAAGGGAAAGTTCCATATGTCCCCATACCTCCTTTACCTTCCTCCTTTAAATGCAGCCGCCACCTGCTGCCTCATAACAGACAGCCTGTGCTTTGCTTTCCTCTCCCTAACTCCCTTGTGTTCTATTCGATAAACTTCTATCTCCTTTGTTCTGCCTCAGGTGAATCCTTTCACTGCCCTTGCCTCCAGCTTCCACCCTTTAGGGTTGCCCCACATTTAGGGGCCCCCATCTGATCAGGAGAGACACCACACCCTTTCCCATTTGAGTGGTCTTGGCATCCTCATTGAAACTCAATTGACCATATATAGAGGGTTTATTTCTGGACTCTATTCTGTTCCATTGCTGTATGGGTTTCCTTAATGGCAATACCATAGTCTTCTACTTACTCTAGATTTATAGCTTGCATGCTATAAATTTTAAAAAAAAATTTATTTACTTAAGTAATTTCTATACCTAATGTGGCGCTTGAACTCATGACCCCAAGATTAAGAGTCACACGCTCTACCAACTGAGCCAGCCAGGTGCCCCTACAGTTTTTTTTTTCATTAAAAAAAATTGTTTTTAATGTTTTATTTATTTTTGAGAGAGAGAGAGAGACAGAGCATGAGCAGGGAAGGGCAGAAAGAGAGAGAGACACAGAATCTGAAGCAGGCTCCAGGCACTGAGCTGTAAGCACAGAGCCCCATGTGGGGCTCTAAACCCATAAACTCTGAGATCATGACCTGAACAGAAGTCAGACACAAAACTGACTGAGACACTCAGGTGTCCTGTTTTAAAATTTGTTTTGAAGTTTATTTTGAGAGACAGAGAGTGGGAGTGAGGGAGGGGGAGAGTGAGAGAGAGAATCCCAAGCAGGATCCTCACTGTCAGCATGTAGCCAGATGTAGGGCTCGAACTCATGAACCGTGAGATCATGACTTGAGCTGAGAGTCTGATGCTTAACTGACTGAGCTACCCAGGTGCCCCGCCCCTACAATTTTTTTTTTTTAATGTTAGGAGGGGCTCGTCTTATGTTTGGCCTAGGCCCTCCCTAAGGCAAACAACAGTTTAAGGGGAGGAGAGAAGAGAAATTTATACTAGGGATTTTTCTAGCAGTCAGTCTGAGATGGGTCAGTATCTGTGGTGGGTTGGCTTGAGGAGTAAGTAGTAACATAGGGTTTTTACTTGAACTTAGTTAAAGATGTAGGTTTCCCCTGTTATATGAAAGTAGAGCATTCTTAAGAGAACTTTTCTAAGCTGAAATGGCATAAAGTGGAAAAGCAGTTACTGCTGACTTACATGGAAAAAATTTTGAGCATTCCCAGAACCAAAAAATAACTTCTCTTAGGCTTTTCTGATACCTTAGGATACACTTTGCTAATGGATGCATAACATAAATTGAGATAAAGCACAGATGCTCAAAGACAGTTCAAAGCTATGTCAGTTTGATGGTGAGATACTGTGTAGTTCCCAAGGAAGGAGCTGGTGGTGCTATTGTTGAAGCTGAGGGTGCTTCAAGTAGTGGCTTGCAAAACCAATGTTGAAAGCTGTTTTCACTTTTTGCAAAAGCAAAAATGCTCTTCAGATTTCTTTTGGTTAGCGAGAAAAGGTACTAATTAGGTCTTTTGCAAAAGCAAAGTGGCATAACACAAACCTTTGAAGAGCTGGGGATATCTGTATACTCATTTGTATTTAGTTAAACAAATTGTAATACAAGTGTAAATTGTATTTAGTCATTGATCATTCACTATTTCAGCGGTTGTATTGGTATTGGTTATTCAGTAGTGTTTGTAGACAAGAGTTTGCAAAGATACAGTCTTTGGGGTTTATGTGATATTCTTTTAATATTGAGACTCCTTAAGATGTATTTTAGTAACCATAGACACTAAAGTGCTGATTTCTCCATTTTGTAGATATTGTCTGTCAGAAATCTAGATGTTAGAAAGTAGCTTATACATACCATATTGGAATTCTGTAATTATCACAATGCCAGCTTTGTACCATTCATTCCCTTGGTCTCTAGTAAATGCCATCTCTTAAAAGTGGATAGTGGTGATCCACACAGGGCTAACTGGCATTTATGCTTGAAAGATGGAAGTTGCAGGTCTTCCATCTTAACTGTTAAAAAATCTTAATTCATTTAATTTACTGCTTGCAGCATACTTGGTGAGACAAAGCTACCTATGTGAAAATTTGAACATTTTCTGGTTCAGTGACTGGTCTGCTTAAGGGAGAGTACCTACTTTTAATAAAGTTAGACTTTCTAAGGTCAACTTTTTTCTACCTTAAAGGGAATAATTAAAATTTTTTTTATACATTAAAAAAATTTTGTTTTAATTTTTTTTTTTTAATGTTTATTTTTGAGAGACAGAGAGAGAGAGTGTGAGTGGGGAAGGGGCAGAGAGAGAGGGAGACACAGCATCCAAGGCAGACTCCAGGCCCTGGGCTGTTAAGACAAAGCCCAGGGTAGGTCTTGAACCCATGAACCGTGAGATCATGACCTGAGCTGAAGTCAGACGCTTACTGACTGAGTCACCTAGGCATTCCCCCCCCCAATTTTTTTTTAATGTTTATTTATTTTTGAGAGAGAGAGAGAGAGAGAGAGAGAGAGAGAGAGAGAGAGAGACAGAGCGTGAATGGGGGAGGGGCAGAAAGAGAGGGAGACACAGAATTTGAAGCAGGCTCCAGGCTTTGAGCTGTCACCACAGAGTCTGATGCGGGGCTCAGACTCACGAACTGTGAAATCATGACCTGAGTTGAAGTTGGACACTTAACTGGCTGAGCCACACAGACACCCTGGCAATAATTAATTATAGGTCACTCTTACTGCTGGCTGTGTATGTGGTATTTTGCTGTGGAGGAAATTGAAGCCTAAGTGATTTTTAAATAACTTTTTCAAAGGTTACATACCTAGTAAAATAGTGTGATTTCAGAGTCTATGTTCTTTCCACTGTATGATCCTTTATTTTGTATATAAATAATTTTTTTTTTTTCAGGTTAAGAGGACAACTCTAGTGGATAGCAGAACATCCGTTACCGATGTGAAATTTGCTCCTAAGCATATGGGTCTTATGTTAGCAACCTGTTCGGCAGATGGTATAGTAAGAATATATGAGGCACCAGATGTTATGAATCTCAGCCAGTGGTCTCTGCAGCATGAGATTTCATGTAAGCTAAGCTGTAGTTGTATTTCTTGGAACCCTTCAAGGTAAGCTTACACAGAAAACCTGATAATGTAATCCTAGTAAAACAAATTTCATAATTTTTAAACTAAGCATTTGATGGTTTAATTTCCTTAAAATGTTTTTCTTAAGTAGTTATGTTTATTACTAAAAAAAAAATTGTGTAGAATAAAAATTCTCCCTAATCTACCCTGCACCCTTCATGTCTCTCGTCCCCTATTTTTATTCCATAGAAGAAGCCAACCATTGTAAATATTTTGGTGTGTACCTTCTGGCTTTTCCCATGTAAATACAAAGAAATATTTAATGTGTGTATAAACATACAAATATATGCCAGTATGCACATATCATGTAAAGGTAGATCCAAAACACACAGATACATATAGACATACATTCTGCTTACTTGAAATTTGCCTTTTTCATTTACAAATACATTGTGTCTATTTTCCCATGTATTAGTATAATTAATCCTACCTTATTTATTTATTAATTTTTTAAATGTTTATTCACTTTTTATTTTTGAGAGAGCGAGCTAGAGAAAGGCAGAGCATGAATGGGGTAGGAGCAGAGAGAGAGGGAGACACGGAATCAGAAGCACACTCCAGGCTCTGAGCTGTCAGCACAGAGCCTGATGTAGGGCTCGAACTCGTGAATTGTGAGATCATGACCTGAGCCAAAATCTGACACTTAACAGACTGAGTCGCCCAGGCACCCCAGTCCTACCTTATTTTTTTAATTGCTGTATAGAGCATGACTCTGACTAGATCATAGTTGGTTTTAATTAAACTATTTTTAAAAATTAAAAGAAAAACGAATCACTTGGTAAAGAAAAAATTTCAAATAATACAGAGGAGTATAAAATGAAAGGTAAAAAGTTTCTCTACCCTCTAAAAATGCTAATAGTTCTGATTTTATTTATTTATTTATTTATTTATTTATTTATTTATTTATTTATTAAGTAGGCCCCATGCTCAGCGTGGGGCTTGAACTCCCAACTCTGAGGTCAAGAGTCGGATGCCCTACTGACTGAGCTACGTGCCCCTAATAGTTCTTATTTTAGATTTTAATTCTGATAGTTGCTATTATATTTTTTTAATTTTTAAATTTTTTTAAGGATTTTGTTTTTAAGTAATCTCTACACTCAACATGAGGCTCAAACCCCCAATCCTGAGATCAAGAGCTGCTTGCTCAACCAACTGAGCTAGCCAGGTGCCCCAGTTGCTATTATATTTTTAAATGATTTACTTATGCCTTTGATTCTGCTATGTTAGCTTTATACAGTATTTATAGTCACTGTATGAAAGATGAATTTATCATTTAGCACATTTATAAAGCTTTCCACTTCTCAAGGTATGACTAGAGAGATATCTTTTTTTTTTTTTTTTTTTTTTTTTTTTTTTTTTTTTGGG